ATAAACTTGCAAAATAAATCAAGCTCTAGAGAATTCATGCAGTTGCAGGATACATGTTGTACTACAAACATGTATTACAGTACCTTTATGTTGCTTACAGTTTCAATCACTAGATTTAGTGACACTGTCACATCTTTAACATGTAGGGACTTGTATATTAGGAATTATCGATACTAGAAATAACCTAAGAACATGGAGTTGATGGTGAGATCTCGTCTCTCAGCGTCGATTTTTATATTTTATTATTGTTTATGATATTAGCCCTTCTAAATGTACCATTGCTGAGATATCGAATTAGTCCGGAATTAAACTGAAGCCTGCTGTTAAATAAACATTGAGACTATAGAACTAACCTAAGAACATGGAGTTGATGGTGAGATCTCGTCTCTCAGCGTCGATTTTCCAGTCCGTGGTGAACTCCACCTCCGCATGCCGTCCGTCCGTCACCACGTCAACTCTCAACGTCGTCACCTCAAAATTCTCCTTGTTGTTTATCCGCGCGGTGATCGTACCGTGTTCCTCGCCTCTCGTGTTCAGCATGCGTACGCCCTCCTTCTCAAACATTACCTTCATCTCCTCTGGCGTTGCTGTCGTCGCGAAGTCCAGATCTTGGGGTTGTTTCCCCATGAGGATATCGCGTACAGCCCCGCCAGCGATACGTAACTCGTACTCGTACTTAGCAAAGAGCTCCGACAGACGATTTAGCTCGGGGGTGAAGAGGTTTTTGAATTCTGGTTTATCGAGCTTCATGGTTCTGTTAGTATGAAGACTCTGTAGTGCTAGGTAATGTTGTAGTGTTTGTGGCCGGATTCTTGTATGTTTTAAACCTGATGCAATACTACGAAATACCCCAGCAAGCATTGCACAATCAGAAGACTTGGTGTTGTCCTTTTGTTACCACCAACGTCTGAAAATAGATTTTTTTTTTCAAAACGATAAGCAATTTGCTCAACAGGCTTAAACGACAATACTGTCTGCTAGGGTCTAACGTTATATATTTTGTTCGTCAGACAGATTTGACAGATGTTTCTGGCTTGGGGAGTTGCTACAGTAAGAAGGGGTTTGCCCCCCTCCCCTTATTTTCTTCAAATTTTGCCCGTTTTACCGGTCTATTTAACGAAACAAATCATACAATTTGCTCAGATAAGGTCCCAAATGTGTAAATCTTCTAGTCAATGGCAATGTCATGTTGACAAACGGAAAAACACGACAGTATGAATAGATTTTTCCCACCTGCGAAAGGAGTCACCGAAAATGTCGCATGGGCGCCGCCATTTTGATGTGGACGAGGTCACTTTTGTAGAGGGGTGAGTAGTAGCAGA